TTGTTTTCAAAAATAGATATAGATGTAACAATACAGAGATATACAATCTCTACTATTACTCTGTTCATGGTTTTGGTGGTTTGAATTGTTTTTATATTTTAAGAATCACAGATTGTAATACTTTATGTGGATGAGGCATGCAGTGATTATAATATTCTAAAGTTTCAAACTTTTTTGCTTTGGATGAGGCATGCAGTGATTGTAATATTTTTTCAAGTCAATGATTTTAATACTTTCTTTTTCTTTTTTTGAGGAAGTACATAAGTTGAATTATGTTGAAAATTTATAAAATTTTAAACTGCCAAACTGATTTGCATCCATCCGCTAAACCGCCAAACTGCTCAATCCACATCCGCCGGATTGGCAGACGGATGCAGATTGATTTTCTCCAATCCACCAATCTGGCGGACGGATAGCGGATTGGAGGTTTAGTGGCCGCAACCGACCCGCGCCCACCCCTATTCAAAACCGTTCCGTTCCGCTATAGTTAATACATATATATTTTCTATCCTATAATGAAATATTAAAGTAAAAATAAGTGTGAAAGAGATTTAATATGTAAAATTTATTACAAATTAGTAGTTATATATATGAAAAATATTATGCAAAATAATGTTATATATTATGCAAAGGCTTGAGAATTGGTTATAATATTTTTCAATCCGCCAATCAACCCAAAACAGCTCAAATCGCAATTTGTCAATTCGTCAATTCACTAATCCGTCATTCGATTTATAATTTTACTTTCAAACCACCCGAACCGCACCACATACACCTTAACAACTGCTGGTATAGTAGGCTGGGTAATTTGTGAATGGGCTTATAGTTATGATACCATTTTACAGTCGGACTGGGCCTGAGACAAGAGTTTTTCCACCAGTCCTCAGTCATGTAGGTAAGGGCATTTTCAAAATTAACCCAAACTTCATGGCCATATACCCTAGTCGTTCCTACTAAAACACCGTACCTACGAGAAAAATTCGGGAGCTTCTATTTGCACACACTTAATGATTTTATTTTTATTACAATTTTATCCCTAAGTGAAATTACTATTTTGGACATCATACACAATTCAAATAAACAAACGTTTTCATTGCACATCCAGACTCCATATCCACATCATGTTGAAGCTGTTAAAGCTGTTGAAGCTCCAAGTCCATTATAACTACTCCTTCTTCCGTACTCAATTCACATTCCATCATCATCCTTTGAAACCCTTCATTGTTAGCTTCCATTCATTAGTCCACACACTAAACACCCTCATTCTTGATTCGTAACTTTTCATTAGTTTATTCACTAAACCTCATCCTCATTCATCATTGTTATGGAAGATTTTTCTTCTGAAAATTTAGATTTTCAAAAACAAATAAATGTTTATAAGAAAGATAGCTAAGGATATGTAAGTTTTGCAATGTAAAAGTCTTTTTTTTTCTTTTTCTTTTTTTTCAGCGTCTTTCAGATAACCAAGGTTGAAATATATCAATTTATTCAGCAGTCTACTACCGAAATAATTATGTAATTTCGGAAGTTGTCGTCCGAAATAATTTAAATTTTACGACATTCAAATTCCGAATTGGTAAAAATAATTCGGACAACTACATTCGAATAGTAGCATTTTGTTCGACACTGTACTTTCGAAAGAAGTAATTTTTTTCCCCCATTTTATATTCCAAATTTGTAAACTGCATACTAAATTTGCAGTCTCGAATTGTAAATTTGTCTTTATAATGCCATTTCAAATTTGTAATGTTGTATAAAACATGTAGGAATATGTGTCAACTCAAGGAAGTCAGGTTTGCGCGGATAGTGTGTTGGATCACACTACTCAATTCACAACTGAACAGATTCACTCTACGAAATTATAATGATTGTGTTTTGAATTGCTCAACAAATGTAAATATTTGATCATATTTATTTGACTTTGTAGGTATTCAAAAGTAAGGATGAATTGCTCAACTAGGTACGTGAAGTTGGAAAGAGAAATAGTTTGGTCATTGTAATCAAAACATCAGACTATGGTGGAGGGAAAAAAAAACCCAGGGTGTATCTTACTTGTGAGAGGAGTGGCCAATATAGAGCGACAAAGAAGTTAAAACATGATGGCAACAATACATCAAGAATAACCGGTATGAAGAAGTGTGGTTGTCCTTTTGATATGAGGGCTCACAGGTTTATCACAAATGATGAATGGACATTGACCATAGTATGTAGATTGCATAACCATCCACCTACGGAGCACCTTGAGGGACATTCATATGCGAGGAGGTTGTCAAAGGATGAGAAAACATTGTTAATGGATATGCCAAAGAGTATGGTTAGGCCAAAAGAAATCCTAGTAACCTTGAAGCAGCGAGATGCCCTAAATATAAGTACACTTAAAACCATTTACAATGTACGCCATCGAAACAGGGTGGTACAAAGAGCTGGAAGATCACATATGCAACACTTATTGGATGAATTGGCCAAGTATAATTACATTGAGTGCCATCGATGTGAAGAGTTCATGATGGCTGTGACAGACTTATTTTGGGCACATTCTACCAGTTTGGACTTATTTCGGGCACATTCTACCAGTTTGGACTTATTTCAGTCTTTCCCATGTATATTAATTATGGATTGCACATTTAAAACCAAAAGATATCGTTTTCCTCTTCTTGAAATTATGGGAGTGACATCAACTGAAATGAATTTCTCTGTAGCTTTCGTATACTTACAGTATGAGAGGGCCGATAACTATGCGTGGGTGTTAGTTACATTGCGTGATGTCATGAATTGTTTTGTTTTGCCAGTGATTATTGTCACTGACAGAGAGCTAGCCTTGATGAATGCCATACAGAAGATATTCCCGAGTGGAAGACATTTATTATGTCGTTGGCATATCAGTAAGAATGTATTAACTAAATGCAAGAAAATGTTTGAGACACAACAGAAATGGGAGAAGTTCAACCATGAGTGGAACTCTTTAGTTTATTCATCTTCTGAAATTCAATACGATGAGCATCTTAAATCATTACTTAAGGAATTCAGTAGTTATCCCGAGGCAGTCAACTACGTCATGGATACTTGGTTGGTTCCTTACAAGGAGAAATTTGCGACGGCATGGACAGGCACGTGTAATTATGGCAATGTTACAACCAACCGGTAAAATTACTTTTATTTAATAAGTTATTAATAAGTGCCACGTACTTGATTTTTATTTGACTTACATTAAATTGAACAGGGCTGAGAATGCACATGCAAAACTTAAAAGACAATTGGGTTCATGCCAAGTCTCATTTCAGGCATCATTTGAGAAAATACACAGTCTACTTGAGTTGCAACACACTGATATCAAGGCTTCATTTGAGAAAAGTCTAACTGTTGTGCAACATCAATTCAAACCTTCTCAGTTTAGGGAGCTATGGGGTAATGTGTCTATCTCTGCATTGGAGTATTTGCTTGTAGAGAGTAAGAGAGCCAATTCTATTGGTATTGATGCTGAAGCTTGTGGATGTGTCCTTCGCAACACTCACAGTTGACCTTGTGCCCATGAGATTGCTGACTAAACAAGATTGTCCTATACTACTTGCTACCATACACTCACAGTGGAGGTAACTTCATATCTCTATATGCAACAAAGAAGAGGAAACGAAGGTGACTTGTCATACAAAAGTAGAGTTGTTTGTGAAAAAGTTCAATGAAAGTGATAGAACCATGCGGTTAGATCTTTTGAAGACGTTGAAAGAGATTGTATGTCCGAGAAGCACTTTTCTTGTTGAGCTGGAGGTGAAGCCCAAAACACCTCCTTGGGATCATAAGAAGATCAATGTTTCTACCCGTCGTGACCCGTGTGCATTTGAGTTTGTGCAATCTGGACATGATTTATTCTCACCTAGGGACACTCAAATCACTGCATTAGCTTCTACTCTGGAAACCAAGAAGAAGCACCTATTAAGGGAAAAGAGAAGGTGAATGCGAAGGGGAAGATGTACATTACCAAAATAGTAAAACCTGGTGCATATGTTGATACTTTCCCTTCTGGGTTGAAACCATACATTAAGTTTGCCAAGGATGTAGCTGTAGATGGGAATTGTGGTTTCAAGGCTATAGCTGCTTTAATTGGTCATACAGAAAATGATTGGGCTCAGGTTAGGCGTGATCTTTTGGGTGAGCTACACATACATAGAGAGGAATACATTACACTTTATGGGTCCTACGAAAGGTTTGAAGAATTGATAAGCATATTGTCATACTTTGAAGACAGTCCTGACTATTCATATTGGATAACTATGCCAGACATGGGGCATTTTGTTGCATCGTGCTACAATCTTGTGTTATGCCACTTGTCATTACAACAATGTCTTACCTTTTTACCTCTTAGAACAGAGCCAACACCTTAACTTGATAGATATGAGATTGCCATTAGGTTTGTCAACGGAAATCATTTCGTCCAGGTATAAGAGAAACTTATCAATTTGTGCATGTACAGGAAGTTATGAGGTATGACCACTAACTCAAGTGACATTTGGTGTAGGGTTTTTTGCTACCAGGCCATCTAGTTCCTCCTATAGCCACTAATTGGTGAAAATACTGTCACTCTTGCGCTGTCGACTGGGATGATGCATATGTGCGTCGCATTCAGCATTTCAAGGACATCATTCATGATACTGTAGCTACTTGAGAGACATTTGATGTTGTTGATGTCGAATGACACATGTATGCATTTGACAATGTTAGAATTATAGAAGAAATTAATGGATGTGTTTTTTGACGTTGATGCGTTCTGTGGCATGGATTAAATGTTATCGACCATTGTTACCATTCCATTCTAATAACAAAATATCATTTACAAAACCATCGACCATTGTTACCATTCCATTCTAATAATAAAATGTCATTTACAATGTCATTATTCCATTCTAATAAGAAAATATCTTTTATAATGGCATTAAAAGATGTGTACAACACTGTCATCTTGCAAAAAAACACTACAAAAAATTCTTCAACTGACAAATAACATGTCACGAATTAGCTATATGCCTATGATTAGGCCTACGACTGTATGTCAATGTCAGAGATGAAAAGCGACCTCCAGTACAACTAGGTCCAGCAAAACTAGGTCTAGCTTCGTCAATGTGCTGAGTTTCAAGGACATGCTCCATAGCCTCGATAGCCTTGTAAAGTCGATAAGGATGTCGAATCCTGTCCTCATAACCAACCTGAATGATAGGATGTGCAATCCTAAGTGCATGTGCAATACACTGTATTTGAAAAGAATATCATATTTTAGGGAACATATCAGAAAAGCAAAAGTAAGCTACAAATGCATAAAAGAGGATAATATATTACATCGACATGTTAGTTGAAATCCTGATGTTCATGGACACGTGGTTCATCAGTGTGCTCAACATATAGGTGCGTGATATTCTTATGCCAATCCATGTAACCCGGTACACATTCCCAAGGCTAACGAACTGGTGTTCTCCTCTGCTGCTCAGATAACATATGGTTATCCCAAACCTCTAGATCCTATTCAAGTATCTATACATGATTGTATATCGTGCAGATATGTTGCCTCGAGTACCACGAATGGGAGCTAACGGTGCATTTGGGATGGTTTGAACCCTGCCAAACTGCCTCAGAACTCTATCTGGATGATAGGGTTCGACCACGTCTAAGCACTTCAACCATCCATGGTAGAACATAACCGGGTTACATGGATGCCGGTCTCTGCAACTATGGTATAAATCCTAAATAACCTATAAACGTAAAGTGTTTTTGAATTAAAGTATATAAAGGGTAACATAAATGGAAAGTGTTAAAATTATTGATGGACGAGTAAACTTACATCAGTTGCTACCAAACTGTCAAGCTCCGCTTGAAAAGATTTGAAATGATCAATGGAGGAACCCGCCTCTTTCCTAGATGTCCACTGGTGCACGTGTGACATGTTTTCATTGTAGCCAATGTTCTGGAGAGGTCGGAATGCTCGGAAGTGCTCATAAATCCACGCCTCCAAAAAAGACATATAACTACCCATCTGCTTAACACCGAATTGGCTAACATACCCCAATTGTCTATATAAAAATGCTAATGCAGCAACACCCCAAGCGTAAGTATGAATGGATCCCAAATCCATCAATAAGTCAAGGTAAACAACAGGAACCCTACCGCCACTCTTGTCACTGAAGAGCGTACATCCCAACAGAAACAACAAATAAGCTCTAGCAGCGCATTATATGGCCTCCTTTGGGTCTGAATCTGTGACACCAGCAAACTGACTTCACAACCACTCAAGCCTGACTGAATTCCCACCAGCAGTAGAAACCTCGTTATGTGCTACACGTTCAGTAATCCCCAAGCCAAAAACCAGTAGTGTAACTCCATGAAGATCCGTCACATCTAGTACGCGAACTGATCTATTTAAAATGAGAAGGCTAAGAATAGTGCCAACATCATCCAAGGTCAAGGTCATCTCACCAACTATCATATGAAATGTGTTCGTCTCAGGTTGCCCTCTCTCAACAAAACTGGAGATTAGAAGCTTGTTAACAAACCGATAAGTGTAACGAGCTAACTGTGACAACCCAAACAGCTTAATAATGGCTTTGAATCTGGTGTTGTTGTCTATTGACCACCATAGCCATGCAAGGATCTTCAAAGAGTGATTATAACACTTTAGGAGCCCTCGTTCTTCTAAAACAAATGAATATCTCATTAGAAACTTCCATATAACACAACAACAAAAAAATCATATACAAATGAATTTCACGTCTACTCAGGAATGTTTACCTCTCCCTGTCAAACAGCTGCAACGACATGACTATTGAAACTCCGCAGTATTGATGGATCAGTCGGTCCACCTGGAAAAGCATGAGTAAGGTCCTCTTCCTGGACAGTAGGAGAATCAGGTAAAGGGACATCCTCCACAGCAATGTCAGGCATATCATCATCTTCAACTCGTCTTTGGCTTCGGCTCTGACTTCGACTGGCACTAGGGATATCATATTCTACCGGAACTGGATCACGACCTCGACCCCGACCTCGTCCTCACCCACACCCTCGTCCCCGTTCATGGTCAACATCCAATTCACGACATTGTCTATTTAAAGTAGTAGGTGGGACACGTTGTTGACATTTAGGATCCATATTATTTGCAAAAATTAATATACTTTATGAGTATACAATTGTAAAAAGAATATACAAAAGAGGGGGAAAAAAAAAAGAACAAAACCGTTCGGAAGTTAAAAATCGCAAATGTCCATTATGTTCGAAAGTTGAAATCCAAAAAAACACATTCATTTTGAAAGTTGAATGTTGTCCGAATTAAACATATTCAGAAGTTGAATGTCAAAATAATGAAAAAAATTCAAACTTCTACTGTTGAAATAAATGATAATTTTCAAAATTTTACTTCTGAACAAGTTGTTTATTTTTAGATAACCAATTCCAAATGAGGAACAAATTACTCGTTCGGTGGGCTATGTGTTCGTTCGTTCGTTTCGAAAATGGTAAAAGCAAACCCTACATTACAAGTGAAATAGGAATGAGGATTGAAATAAGTAAACTAACCTAAGTTCTCTAAATGTGAAGAATTCCTTCAATGGTTCAATGAGATTCTTCATTGCTTCAATGAGATGTCTTCAATAAGCTTTTGGGAACGAAAGGTGTGAGAGATGGACTTGTGTGAGAGACGTGTGTGAAAGATGCAGCTTCAATGGGTGTGTATTTGCACCGTTCAAAAAGCTGGGTTTGAGGTCTAGGTGTGCGTGTGTGTATGTGTGTGTGTATAAGGATGGCAATGGGGGTTAATGGGGTGGATATTAATTCCCCATCCCCATTCCCATTCCCTTATAATAAATTTTTCCCATTCCCCATTCCCCATTTCCTAATGGGTTTGGATTTTCTCCAACCCACTTTAATCCCCATTTTTATTTTATTTTTATTTTTTATATTTAATATTAACAATCACTTTTTTTTTAAAAGGTTCACAACAAAAACTAAATATACATTCATTCTTTTTTCTTTCTTTTTTAATATATTTAATGTTAACAACTTTTTTTTTTTTTTAAAGTTTCATAACAAAAGCTAAATGGGTGTTGTTATGGTGTGCAACCCCTTAAGCTTGCACACCATATGCAACCAACAGAAAGGGTGTAAGTGGAAGGTGTAAACATAAAACAGGACAGCAAACAGAAAGGCGTAAGTGTAAGGTGTAAGTTGCACACTTAAGAAAAGTCCAAGCTAAATATACCTTCAATCTTTTTTCTTTCTTTTTTAATATATTTAATGTTAACAACTTTTTTTATTTTTATTTTTTAAGTTTCACAACAAAAGCTAAATATACCTTCAATCTTTTTTCTTTCTTTTTTAATATATTTAATGTTAACAACTTTTCTTTTCTTTTTTTTTTCTTTTTTTTTTTAAGGTTTTAGCTAAATATACCTTCAATCTTTTTTCTTTCTTTTTTAATATATTTAATGTTAACAACTTTTCTTTTTCTTTTTTTTTTCTTTTTTTTTTTAAGGTTTTAGCTAAATATACCTTCAATCTTTTTTCTTTCTTTTTTAATAGATTTAATGTTCACGACTTCTTCTTTTTTTTCTTTTTTTTTTTAGCTAAATATACCTTCAATCTTTTTTCTTTCTTTTTTAATATATTTAATGTTAACAACTTTTTTATTTTTTATTTTTTTTTATTTTAAGGTTCACAACAAAAGCTAAATATACATTCAATCTTATTTTATTTTATTTGGTTCAACAACAAAATCAAATACACATTGATTAATTAATTAAAAAGTTTGTTTTATAATAATCAAATATATAATTTTGAGACAACCAAACAAGTTTTAGTAATTAAAAAAAAATGTGGAAGAACGTGAAAGATTAAAAAAAAAATTACAACATTCTCTCTCTCTCACTCTTACTCTCACTCTCTCCCCTACATGTTATAAGAACATGTTTACAATGTTATAAGAGCCTGTTTGAAGAAATAAAATGTGAAAGAACCTGGTTGAAAAAAGTGTTATAAGACTCATATTAAATTGCATCAGGGCATAAATAAGAAATTGTTTGTTGATCTCTTAGCCACAGATATTTTGGACGTTAAACCATCTTTCTCTTAGCAAATTTGAACCATTCATTTTAATTTATCCAAAATCTAATTATACCTTTTAACAAATCTAAACCACTCATTTTAAGATATCTATGACTTATCACACCCAATCCATCCTCCATCTTCTTCCTTTAGTCCCCCACTAATTTTGTTGTTTGTTACTTTTAAAAAACAAAAAATATTTTTTCAATTAAATTTTTACTAATTTCACAGCATTATCACCACTATTCTCACCTTCACTATCATACTACCATCACCATGCCCACTACCATCATCACTGCCGCCATCACTCCACCACTATGTCACAATCTCTACTTTCACCTTCGTTCCATCACCACCACCACCACCACCAAATATAAAAAAATATATTTTTAATTTTTTTTTATAAAAAATATTTTTCATTAAAAAATATTTTCTATCTAAATAAATGAACCATAACATTGGGAAATAAGCTGATTTCAGTTAAATCTGTTCATAACTAAGAAAAATTTTTTATTTAAAAAAAAATTATTTAGTAAGACTTTGTATCCCCTTTTTGTTTTTTCAGCAAATAAATCTTTGTATCCATCCTTTCTAACCAATCACGACTCATGCTTGTTTCGATTATCTACAATTTCCTTATTTTCAAATACATTCATATAATATATATGTTGTATGAATTGTGTGATAACATAAAACAAAGAGATTCATACTCGTTAATTGAAATTTCAGAACAAGCAAACCATTCTGAAAATTATAATACATAACAAAATAAAATAACATAGAAAAGCAAACCGAAACTTGCACTACATAGTGTCCTTAATTTTTTTAAATAAATTTAAAAAATTCGAGATATGCATAAAATTCGACAAGAATAATGTGACAATGTTAATTAATGTGTATTTGATTTTATTGTTGAGCCAAATAAAATAAAATAAGATTGAATGTATATTTAGTTTTGGTTGTGAATCTTAAAAAAAAAAAAAAAATTGTGAACCTTAAAAAAAAGAATTTTAAAAAAATGGTTGTGAACCTTAAAAATAAATAAATAAACAAAAGAAAAAAGATTGAATGTATATTTAGCTTTGGTTGTGAATTTTAAAAATTAAAAAAAAATGGTTGTGAACCTTAAAAATAAAAATAATAATAATTAAAAAAAATATTGAATGTATATTTAACTTTGGTTGTGGATCTTAAAAAAAAAAAGAAAAAAAAAAGTTGGTCGTGAACCTGAATAAATAAATAAATAAATAAAAGAAAAAAAATTGAATGTATATTTAGTTTTGGTTGTGAATCTTAAAAAAAAAAAACATATGGGGAAATTAGTGGATACCCATCCCCAATCCATCCGCTGTGGATATTTAAAGAATATCATTTACCCTACCTAATGGATAAGAAAAAAAGGAAAAAACCCATGTATTTTGGTTGGGTCTCCATGGATACCCACAGAGTAGGTTATCCGTTGCCATCCCTATGTGTGTATGAGGGTAGATGTGGAATAAAAGATTTGTGTAGTGAGTAAAATAAATTGAGATTAATTTTTTAGGTGTGTGTAGTGAGAATGATGTGCAAAAAGTGGAAATGAAAGTGCAAATAGAAGCTCCTAAAAAATTCTATATCCATATACTTAAGGACAATTTGGGAATCTAATTAAAAGTTAATTTTAATTTATTTTAAGTTATATTATTGCTTACATTTTTTATATATAAAATGATAAAAAAATAAAAAAACTCAGCTTTTAACCAACTTTTCAAATCACCCCTTAATTATCGTAGTACATATCTTTTTTCGGTACATACATTTATTAATTTGATTATTAGTTAATTTTCTTAATTTACTTAATGAAAGTTACAATTATACTCTTCACTTATAACTATTGTACATACACCACTCAATCCTCATTTCCACACTTGTTGAGTGACCATGTTTTCAGATTTGTAGACTTATTGTAGACTCATGTGAAAACCATTCAAAATCACAGTTTGAAGTCAAGTGAAATGAATATAAAGTCCTCTATTGAATACAATAATTGAAGACCCTATTAACTTCCATTGAAAACACTATTGAAAATCCTTCAAAATATTGTTGACGATAAGGTATATGTCCATTTTGTTATTGTATTTATCATTTCAGATCCTTGTGCACTCCATTGTCATTAAATCCTTGATTTTTTTTTATAATGTTTTTCAGTTTGGGGATTTCGGCACTGATTTTTTGAAATTATACATTTAATTCGGAACTTAATTTCCAAATAAACGTGAATAGTTTGGCAAATTTGTTTCGAAAAAAATAAAAATAAAATTCTGCAGTTGATCTCTAAATATAATGAAATAATTCGACAATTGACGTCTGAATATAATGAAATAATTTAGCACTGGTTGTCCGACTGATAATTGCAAAAAAAAAAAAAATTACTGCACAAAAAAACTAACATTTTTATCACTGATTTTACTATCACCAGACATATTTTTGCGTGAGTTTGAATTTCTATTAGTTTGCAACTCTTCTATAACAAAATCAAGCAAAAATTGTGAAACTAATAAAAAAACGATATAAATATAAATAATAGAGTATAAATGTAGAGATTAAAGGAATATGAGAGTTGTTATGAGAATATTGCTTTGTAAGTAATAGAAGAGTATAGAGTGTGTAGTAAACAAATAACAATAATTTAAAAAATATGATTTAGTTTTTTTTTTCTTTCTCAAAAGGTATTGAAATTTTTTAATTTTTAAAAAATCTGTAGCTGGAATATTTTTATATAATATTATTTGTGTTAGTAGATATCTATTTTGATCATCTTTATTTAAAATATAATTATTATTAAAATAATATTTATTTAAATATATGCACTAATTAATTATTGAGCATATTTATTATATAAGTAACAAATATCTAAAACTATATAAATAATATTATGTCATTTACTAATATATTAATATATATTAATTGACACATGTAAGATTATTATTCCGTAGGTAAAAGATATGAAAATAGGAATTTCTCAACCCATGAAGGTTGGTGGTCTGCAGTAAGGGTGTCCACGGTACGGTTCGGACGGTTTGAGAGTAAAATTATAAATTGAATAGCGGATTAGTGGATTAGCAGATTGATAATTTACGATTTAGGTAATTTTTGACGGATTGAAGAATATTTTAACTAATTATTATACATTTGTATAATATATAACACTAATTTATATAATATTTTTTAAATTTATAATACAAATTAATTTTACATAATATGTTTCATAAATATAACTATTAATTAATAATAAATTTCATATTTTAAATATCTTTCATATTTATTTTTATATTAATATTTTATTAAAAATTAAAAAATATATATATATTAATTATAGCGAGCGGCTATCCAATTGATGAATTATAAATTTTAAAGTGTAAATTGCGGTTAGCGGTTAGAGCAAATCTTTGTAATTTAAAGCAAAATTATCGATCTTTCCTTACAATCGAAGCGAAAATGGACTCTGATTTGTGGACTACGCGTCTCTTAGCTGCCTCCAGGCGATATCAATCTCGATCTGGTTAGTCTCAGTGCTACTCACGTTCTGTTTGTTTCCCGGGAAAAATCTTATGATAAAGAAAACGAACTTGGGATATTCAGATTTCCAGCTCGAAGCTGTTGTGAAAATTACAATCTTTGTTAAAATTTCTTTTGTGGGATTCAAATGGGGGGTTTGGTTTTTTTTCTTTTCTCAGAATTCGTGAAATTGGTTTTGATTGTAGTGCAGCTCACGAAGGAGGTGATGTCGATGGTGATGATGAGTCGCGGCCGGAGTTTCTTTGCCCGTTCTGTGCCGAGGAATTCGACGTTGTCGGACTTTGCTGCCATGTCGATGAAGCCCATCCTGTTGAAGCTAAGAATGGGGTAATCATTTTTTGTTTAATTTTATAAGTGAAAAAATAAAATAAAATGAAACCCTACTAAATTCTATGGGGATTGGTGCTTTAAAGCTGTTTGCTTTATCCATTTATTATTATTTTTTTATTTTATTTTTAAAGAGTGATAATGTGTTCATTGAGGGCAAGTGTTATTTTTTCTTATTTTTTACTGATTTTAGTTTGGATTTTCTTTTATTCATTTACATGTGAATTCCTGTTGTTTCTTTAGCAAAGCATATACGCACACTCATTCCTTATCTTTTTGTTCAACTATGACATGTTTTCTTTACAATTATTATCATATAGTCTTTTGTTGAGTGACATTTTGATTTGAGAAATTATTTAGTTATTGTCTCTGAAAAAGATGGCTTTGCAAGAATGAGTTACAGAAGTTGGCATCTGGGTTTTCCTGTTTGCTTGACGGAACCTTAGTTTAATATTTTTTGGTATCTAGATGAATTCCCCAAAGTGAGGGCCCCCAATTACATTGTGGGGACAACCCCCCAAAGATTGAGGTTTCCACACAACAATGTTTATTTGTCCCTTTGGAATGCATTTTCACCGGTGAACCGGAGTTGATGCATATCTTTCTGTTGGAAGACATATATAGATAACCAAAGGAATGTTTACAGTATCACTAGTCTGTTGCCGAACCAAACCCCCAGCTAACCTTTTGTTCTTAAGCACCTCATTCAAAAACCTCTTACCCTTAAACAACGGGAGTTATGTCAGATGTGTGCATATATGCATCTATACGGAAAATGCATTTGGGCTATGTATAAGCAAGATTCAACAGATATGCATTATCTTTTAATAGTTACTGCAAAAAGTATTAGTTACAAACTGCAGAACCACAATAAAGGTTTTGTTGTATAGACTGTTATTCATTTACCATTTTTGCTATTTACTAAAAAGTGATTTGTGCTTGCTGAGCTACACAAATTGTATGTTTCCACTGTTATGCTAATTAAATTGTTTATATATGCAGGTATGCCCAGTTTGTGCAAAAAGAGTGGGGATGGATTTGGTTGGCCATATGACAGTGCAACATGGAAGTCTTTTAAAGATATCCTTTTTGTTCAAGTTGTCTAAAGTTATAAGTTAGTTCCTTTCTATGTTGCAGTTATGGTTTTGGTTTTGATTTGGTGGAATGCCCTAGTGCTTGTGGGGATGCCTTGCAAAACATGAGCTCAAAGTCTGTGTGTAGATACCATAATTGAACTAATAACTGACTCGGTTTTATTGATAATGGTTAGACTGTATTTTGTCTCAACAGAAAACCACCCGGTATAGGGTTTTAGAAATTGTTGTTTCATCATACAACTGAGTACTGACTAAAAAAATTTCCTGAGCCCGATTAGGAAACATGTTTACAAACAATTTTGTCTAGCCGTCTCGGGATTCTGCCTATTCACCGGATTTTGCCAGTTTGCCGTCTGGATTTATTTCCTAGAAGAATTAAACCACGTGTCTGCTTACTCTGTGGTGTGCTTGGAGTCTTTGTTATCGCAGATTCTTTTTTACTAGTGCTATTGGAACTTTAATTGGTTGACTTTCCTTTAGAAGTTTCGTTGGAATTTTTCAACCCCGCCCCCGCAGATACCCAATCACATTTCAAGTAGTCAAAAAAATTGAAAACCATTTAAATTTTTAACATACTAAATAATTTCTCTTATTTTCATATATATAAATAATGAGACTTTTAAAATTATTATTTATTTATATTTAAACAAAATCACAGACTTTTAATACTCATTTCTTATATCTAATTATATTATTATATACATATATATTATTTATTATATTGGGTCGGATTTAGATTGGAGGAGGCGATCCCGCCCTTACCCCATCCCTGTTGCAGGTGATCAAAATATAATCTACTCATGCCCCACATAAAATCCGCTCCATTCAGACGGGTATAATAAATTGGACTCAAATGGCCATCTCTAAGATTATCTTTTTCCTATTAGATAAATTAACAGAGTCAGATTGATGAGTTAAATTGATGCCAATTTTAAAATGTAGGGTTTTATTTGAAACAATTAAAAGTTCAAGGTTTGATTTGTTAAGAGAGTTAAACTCTAAGAGTTTTTTTTTATATAATTTTCCCAAAACAAAGGTGATATGTTTACAAAATATTTACCAATTCATGGAAAGATTTCTAAAAAAAAAGGTACCAATTCGTGGAAATATTTGTAAGTTTAATTATTAAAATTGAAAATTGTTTTCATCTATTTGTAATTTTTTTAAAATTGATAACTTTTTTCATCTATTTGTAATTATTAAAAGTACCAATTCATGATACTTTTCTATAATTAAAAGAAAAAAAGAAAAAAAAAAGTGATATGTTTACAAAATATTTACCAATTCATGGAAAAATTTATAAGTTTAATTATTAAAATTGATAAAAAAATTTCATCTATTTGTAATTTTTTTTAAATTGATAAATTTTTTTCTTCTATTTGTAATTATTAAAAGTACCAATTCACGATACTTTTCTATAATAAAAAAAAAGTGATATGTTTACAAAATATTTACCAATTCAATGAAACATTTATAAGTTTAATTATTAAAATTGATAGAAAATTTCATCTATTTGTAATTTTTTTTTTTAGAAATTTACATCAAAGTGCAATTTTCCCGACTGTTTTCGGCCATTGATTTGGTGTACATTTTTCTTTTCTCTTTTCTTTTCTTTTGTGGGTGTAAACATAGACTCCAAATATCATTGGGTCCAGGTTGAGTGTTTGTACAGATCAAATTTTTATTCTACTGTATATGGCGTAATAAATAATAAACATGAATTTGATCACATGATATATTTGTTATAAAACATATTTTCTCTTATAATTAACATCTTGAATCTTTTAAATATTTTGTTAAGGAAATAAAATTAATTTTATGTTACGATTCATTTTTTTTATTAGTAAATGAGAAATTTGCATAAGGTTGTAAGAATTTTATAATAAAAAGTTATACAATTTTATATGGACAATAAGTAGAAAGAGATGTCCCCTCTATGAATGCTTCCTTGATTTTTATAATAAAATGTGTATTATTTAGTAACGTATCTGTTGATATTTAAATAATTAGTTAAAAAATTTAAAAGTATTTAAATATAATATTACGAGCAGTTTGATCTTTATTTATGTATCAAAAAAACTTAAACAAATCATACCTTAAAAATTCATTTATAAACTAAAATTTTGATCAATCTTATACAATCACTCTTGATTCCATCAGTATTTCTTATAACCATAGGTAAGCAATTCTAAACTATGTTTTGTTTTATTTTATTCCAATATTTTGGTTGGAGATAATTGTTAAGAACAACTTTTTATTTTTTATTTTTATACATATATAAACATTATATAACACATAAGAGAAGCGGTGTTGGGTTCTAACCCAGCTAAGTGAGCAGCCCTTCAAGTACTCACCCACTGGACTAGGAGTCTTCTTGTTCAATCATTAAGACAACTTGAGGCCCAAATATAATGTGGCCCAGAGGGTGTCCACTTTGGTCCAGTTTTTCTGAATGAAAATCAATCTTATGCCAACAAAAAAAAAAAAAAAAAAATCTATTTTCAATATTTTTGTTTGTACAGCTTTCTTGACCTTCCAAATGATGGCTTTTTTGGTAAATATTTTTAGGAGATTTTTATTTTTATTTTTTTAGGATAAAAATACCATAAAAAAAAAAATGGTTTGTTTGGTAAATGCTAAAAGCTTTGTTTTTTTTGTTAGTGGTAAAGTTCAGATGGGATTTAGTTTTGTCTAAAATGATCTTTTTTTTTAAAAAAAAAATATTTTACTTCATAGATCCTTCTAGACTACCTGAAAAGTTGAAAATTTAGGTAAAAATTGCACTAAATAAAGAATTTGTTAAAAAAAAATGTTTTTAACACTTACCAAACAAGATAAGTTCTGTTAAAAAAATTATATTTTTCATGTCTGTCACTTAAATAAGTCGTAACTAAACAAATATATATATATATATATATATTTAATAGCTTAAATGGTCAAAAACCAACGTTTTAGCAAAAACCAAACAGAGATTTGAGGAAGTTTGGTTCCTCCAAAAATGTCAATTTCCTGACTTATGTCCTTTCTTCTCTTTATAGGAGAATTTGTGTCAATCAATTGTGTTTGGTGTCTTTGTTATGTGATTTGTATGTTTATTGAATTCAATGTCCACATTGTATTGTTCACTTTCTTATATAATAATTGAATATTGAGACTGATGTAAATTTCATAATGTTTATTTGGAAAAGACAAATGCACCTTATAATTACAGAAAAAAATAGTATAATTTTAGATTTTCTAAGTCATAACTAAATATTTCAAAATAAGATCATAATTACAAAAGAAAATTGGCTATAACCAAAGAAGTGTATAATAGAATTCTCTTACTTCATAAATTCTGCCTATTAATTAACACCAAAAAAAATAAAAATAAATAACATAATACAATAGTTAGATGCGTCTATTTCTTCATATTTCGACTATTATGAAGTTTCTATCTTTGCTACAGCTGTTGTTAGAGACTCGAACGGTGAATATACAAATATGACAACTTTAAAATTAGTTTTATTATCACCATGAATCTAAAATAATGATTTGTCTCAATTAGAGGACTGGTGTATCTTGCAATTGCCATCACATTTTTAACTATACTTTCGTTTTGTAGTTGATGCCAGCAAAACCAAGTACAATTTATTTTTGGATGTATTGGTACCTTCCATTATTCTTGAAATTGATTGTGGGTGACTCAATTTTTTGGGCCACTTCTTTATAAGAAGATTCCATGAGGTTAATTATCTGGTTATTGATATTGTTTTACCCTGAAAATTATTGATCACGAGAATTGTTTTCCATAATGCAAAAAGGATTATTGTGTTTGTTCACAATTTCATCTTATAAGGGTTATGTTTGATTTGCCCAGAGGGAGGGTGGGATAAGACTAAATAATTTAGGGATAAATTTGTCTAGCATTTGGTTCAAATTATTTGATGTGGGATAATTTATTTTGGAAAACATATCTGGGATTGTTTTGTCTTGAAAGTGGGTCAATATATCATGATATAACACTTTTGTCACAAAATAACTAGAATGGCCTTCCTAAAAGGTTATTTGAAAATAATTTATCCAGCCTAAATCTAATCAAAGAAAAGCTTTATTGTTAGTATGGTTAGGTCCCTACGTGTTGTCAATTCCGCGAACAAACTTGGTTTTCAAAATTGTATTTTTTCCTCTGTTTTTGGCTTTACTGCTTGAGCTGAAAACTTATACTCTTAGTAGTTTGGCTTGTCTGTAAAAGTACTGGAAGTTGTATTTTTACGCTCAAGTGAACATTCTAGCGCTCGAGTGTAGATCCTTGTTCAGAAACAAGCGTTTTAGTCACACCGCTCAAGCGGCCATTCCTATGCTCGAGCGGTGATCACGAATCTAACTGCTATAAATTTGCAGTATAATCAGTTTCTAGGGTACGGCTTCCAAATCTTCTTTGAAGGAATTAGGGTTTTCTTCTGGAGCATCTTTGCTAGTTTCTTTGATGTTAGTTTGAGTTTGACTCTGTCTCATGCTTTGATAAGTATATATCAAAAGTTAATTGATCTTTTCAATACAAAGTGTTTTTCTTTGGTGGAATCTGGAGATTCAAGCGGAATCTTTGAAGGAGTTCGAAGCTGCTCGTGGTCGTTGATTCGACATGGATGTTGTGGATTCGACATCAAGCTGATCAATTCCGAGACGAAGGAGTTGGCGAAAGAGACACAGATTGTTGAAGACAATTTTACAGAGTTTGGGTAAATTGTTTGGTAAATTTGTGTTCTTTCTTCATAGTGGATTGATTAGTAGCGTTTCGCCCGTGATTTTTTATCACAATTAGAGGTGTTCCAATTATGATTTTTTTCACGTAAGAATCGTTTGTGTCTATTTATTATTTGTGGAACAACAATCTAAATTACCTTCGTATGTGCTAGATGATTTAGATTGTTAGTTTTAGTTGTTTGAAAATTGTTGCAATTAAATCTATTACAAATCACAAATCATGAATCACGTAGTTTTTTCAAATATGGACACATACAATGGGACTTTTATTTTTATTCTTGTTTGATCAATTAATTAACTCAATTACCTAAGAGTTATGGAAAATTTAACGCGCATAGCAAAAAGAGTAACAATGTTATGATCATCACATTTCTCTTATCACATTATTTTCAATACTTGTCTTGGTTTAATAGATCCTACTATTTAAATATGTTTCCAATACAGCATGGCAAATCATATAAAAAATAAAATATAATTATTACAACATTATTTCAAAATGAATGTTATTTTATTTTATTTTGTTTGTACTTGATGAGACTTGTGGTTATACTTGATTAGAGTATGATTCTTTTTATTTTCTCTTCTCTTCTTTTTTCTTTGGGTCATTCTATGGTCTATGCAAATTAGGATAAAAATTAGTGTAAATCATCTAACATTCCAATCAATAAATTCTGATTTGTCCTATAAATTTCAATAAGCCAAAAAAAAAAAAAAAAAAAAAAAAAAAAACAA